CTGTTGATGATGAAGTATTTTTATGTGCGTTTAATTACTTTATATGGGCCTTCGTATGGTTTCAATGGTTTCTTAACCGCATCTACTCGGACGAAGACATATTTGCACGTTTCAAGGTTTTTATCAAGTTGGACTCGATAGGTGTTTTCGCGGGGGGATATTGCTTTAATATTCTGCATCATTTGTAATAGGCGATTTGCGAAGTGGGTAGAATCCCCTGGCGTTGTAGGTTCATAGTTGACTAGTTGACCAGGTAACGTTAAAGTTGTACCATAGACTAACTCGGCGGCTGTACGTCCAATGTCTTCCTTCATGGTTGAACGAATATCGAGGAGTACAAGCGGCAAGACATCGCTCCACGTTGATTAGTCAGCTTGCGCCATCAGTGAGCTTTTTAATTGGCGATGGAATCTTTTAACCAACCCCCTAGAAGTTTAGTGAACTCCTGAAAAAGGACAGACTGAAATTGGGGACCACGATCTGTTGTGATTATTGATGGTACCCCAAAAGTTAGATATCCAGCGGTCGCGAAAAACTAAAGCGACTGTTTCTGCCGAAGTGTCTTTTATGGGGGAGGCTTTGGCCCACCCAGTAAACCTGTCTACTGCGTTGAGAATGTGGGTGAAGGATTTGGACGGAGGCAGTGGCCCAACTAGGTCCAAATGAATATGTTGAAAACGTTTGTCCGGAATATGGAATTCCCGATTTTGCTGCGTCGGCACTGTAAGCAGCCACGTGTCCAACGTTTAACACCCGAATTGATTTTTGGCCAAGCAAAGCGTTCTGTGATAAGCTTTGTGGTAGCTCTGCTGCGACAGTCCATGTAGCTGTTGAAATATTTTTCGTCGACAGGGTTGTGGCACAAAGGGGCGATCGTTACTCATTGAAGTGTCGCAAATAATAGATGCATCTGAGAAAGGATTGGGTACAGGTTTAAGATTCAAGTTAGACTTCTCTTTGCAGGTCTTCAAATCTGCATCGTCCACTTGTAGTGCAGCTAAAGCTTCGAGGCTGATGTTGTGGTTGTGTACTATCATGTTGATATCCTTTCTAGATAAAGTGTCTGCGACAATGTTGGAGGAGTCTTTGATAAACTGGATGTCCGTAGTGAATTGAGAAATATAATCCAGTTGCCTGGCTTCCTGTGGGGAATGCTTGTCGTACGACGTGTTAAAGGAATAGCAAAGGGATTTATGATCAGTCATAATACAGAAATCACGGCCTTGTAGCAGGAAGTTGAAATGTTTTACAACTAAATACATAGCCAGAAGTTCACGTCCGAAGGTGTCATAACGCTCTTGAAGTTGCAATAATCCCTTGGAAAAGAACACTATAGGAGTAATCTTGTCATTAACGCACTGATGTAATACTGCTCCTACTGCTTTCTGGGAGGCGTCAGTGCAGAGGATAAGGTGCGTTGTGGGGCCGGTGTTTAGATGCTGTAGCATGGTAGCATTGGATGTCATCAATTTCGCTTTAGCGAAAGATTCTCCGGCCTCGAGCGTTAACGTGAAGGTATTCTCTTTTTTGGTCTGAGCTGCGGTTTTATCCATCTTCAGTAAATCCGTCAAAGGTTGCAAAATGGCCGCACAGCGAGGGAGAATACGTCGGTAAAAATTGCACATCAACAGGAACCGGAGTAATGCCTTGATCGAATTGGGCTCGGGAAAGTTGACTATGGCTTCGACTTTTTCTTCAAGCGGTTTGATTCCTTGGGAATCAATGTGATGTCCCAGGAATTCCTGAATGGCTGGTATGTTAGCTTTCCATACATCTGTTGTTGTAGGTTTTCTATAACTTTTGTTGGTTACAAAATCGAAATACGGATGATGGCCTACTTTTTGTGCAATATAACGACTTACCCGATGTAAACTGAACTAGAGCTTCATTGGTACGTGAAGGCCAGTTGGAGATCAATTACCGCTATATTGAAACTGTTGCGTTGTAACGCATTTGTGTTCTTGCTCTGCTAACTTCGGTTCTTGTTTATCAAGCCGTCTTAATCTCGCTATTGTTGTGAGTTGCCTTCACCTCCTCAGCACTCAACATAACTTTGGCCATACATAAATCAGTCAGAGGCTAAACGTTATAGCTGAACGCTAAGGAATTCCGAGTGAGTTGACGCATGAAAATGATGCTGTTAGTTACCATACTCACGAATTTTAGTATAAAAATTGCAAGCTACTGTATGTTTATATGTCAGTAACTGAGACCTTAGAACTAAACTCGTCCGTAACACCGAAGCACCCCAGTCTTCCTATTTTGGAGAAAATTTTGTCTGTTTTCGGGAAATGGCATAGAAACCCCTAAATTCTCCCAGGTTTGGGGAAATCGTCAAAGCGTTCGGTGAAATTTTGTGTTCTACGCTGAACCTTATGACACGGGTTTCTCCCCAAACTTTAATGAAAACTACCATATTTTTTAGGACTTTAGGGAAAACCCCAAAACTTACCCAAAGTAGGGAGACTGGGTCACACTCAGTTATTCACACTTTAATAACAACCAGTGACTAGTCACTGGTGGATCTCTTAAGTTTATTCAGTAACTTGGTTGTAGATAACAAAATTAATGTGACATCGCTTTGCATAGGGTTCGCAGTTTCTATGGTATTCACTAAAAACTGTTTCGTTAATAACAATTTCTATTATTTTCGTGAAGATCTCTGTATTCGCCAACCAATTTTTAATCCCCAGCAGAAGCGGGGGCTTTTATTCACTCCAGTAACTTTAAGTCTTCCTACAGTTCTCCCGGAGTCCTCGCATCTAATGTTTGTTTACAATCTTACAAGTAGCGGTGTACCAGCGAACTAAATACTGACTAATCACTGATAAATATACGGAAAGGGTTATAGCTTAGAATTGCTTCGTGCTGTACACTGGACATCGACACTGTCATAGAATTCCTTCACATCTAAGATATGACTGGTAATTCAGACCCACGCCATGGCCTTTATAGTCAGGAAACTTGGAACCTGTCCTACACTATCAAGATATTTTAAGTTCACAACCTACCTTTCCTGAAGCCATCATGTCTCGTTAGTACCTCCATTTTGCTCCATAAACTTTATTTGTTTTTCGGCCAGGATTTCCATGACTTTTCAGAATCTTTCTCACTTAAATTGTGTCTTTACTCAAAGAGTATGTTATATTACGTACTGCACAATGTTAAAGTAACATCTAGATCTGGACAATGAAGTTAGGCGTCCAAAAGTCAGACTTCACAGACTTAGAATACAACCTAACGTCTTCAACAAAGATAGCAGAAATATGTCGGTCATCTATTTTATTATTTATTTAAACACAAACATGGGTACGAAAAGGCACTAAAATAAATATGTGCCACACAAAATTTGTGTGTAGACTGGAATGATTCTTGAATGCCAGAACTGAAACGCATGGTTTCCTAGGGGGTCACTTCATGGGCCTTTAATCCATAGATCTAACCCATAACGCAAGAGAGCAAGGTCAGAGGACACAGTCCTATGGTAGCCGTTGACCAAGAGTAGGTTTATATGCCATTTGTTCGCTCAGTATCGTGGGGCCTATGTGCACCACAGCATTAGAATTGGGGTTTTCCAAATCCATACTCAACAACACATTTTGAAGACCGAATATTGCATTTCATCCGCCGCCGCGAAAAGCCAGTGTGTAGGACTTTCTGGGCAGTGGATACATGTGCGTGTCCATACGGAAGCGTTTTGAGGAGAGCAATCCTTCCAAACCCTCTGCCGTTTTAGGGTACTCGGGAGTGTCAATTATCTATGTGGATACTGAACGCGGCCGCTGTTGGAGCATGTTGTTAAAACATACCCTCTTATCTTCCAACTGGGAAAACAAGCAATCTAGGTTATCCCGACCGCGCTTTCTGGACATATCTGTACTAGCGCCCGGAACGGGTTGTCGTGGATCAAGCAAAAAGATTAGGGGTCGACTAGTCTTCATGGAAAAGATTGGAAAGTTCTATCATCAACTTATTACTTACAATTTAGAGGCACTTTTAATGAGAGTGGTCTGACAATTGGTGTCTAGTCTTTATGTTATAAGTTTTGGGGTTTCGGCGAGTATCACTAGCCCTCTTGCAATGTGATCGATATCCGACTGCGTAAGCTCGTATTTAGTAAACCCATCGAATTGATTCCAGTAATGAGACATGTATTAGCCGCTAGAATACAATATTTCAGATATGATCTCACTCAGATGAAGTCCTATACATGTCAACGTCAAAGTTTCTGTGATGTGACTGTTACACAAAACCTAATGTCTTGTCAATAGTACCTTGATAATTACGGTGACCAATATACGTTAGTGAACTGTTACTAGGGTTAATCTTCAAGCATCAACTTTTGGACCATATTTGCCATCTCGAAGCGCAAAGTCCAAGTCATACCTTGCTGTACACTCCCCACAAGTTTCCATCCAGATAGCGTCCCGTTTACTCTTTCTTTATCTTCAGAATCAGAAGATGCTCCTCGTCCAAGTTATGTCCAATATCACGAATTTTGTTTGGAAGGGATAATAACGACCAACAGTGTCTTACCGAAACCCTACAGGTTTTCTGTTACTTATTCATAGAAAGACTTCCTTTCATGGTAAACACTGATCTTTAAGAAGATACGGAGTACTATCTGTATGTGACCTGTCAGCATAAGGATCACAGCATATTTCATTTTTTAAAAATGAGCTTTTGTTTGGATCTAACTTGGTATTACCTAAGACACACTATACAAAATTAGGTTTATTAAGACAGTTACGAAATAAATTTATTTAATTGGTTTTGTCTGTTTTACATAACCTAGATGAATAAATTGCTAGTGTGAAAGCATTTTCACATATTCCTGAGATGTTTAAATAATTGTAATAGAACTTAGTGTATTTCATACCACTATATATATATTATATTGTATGCCAACGCACTATTGTATTTACTTTTGTATAGGACTCGTTCCTTTGACGTAATATATTTGATCATCTGTACAGCGAACTAATTTTTACTATTTTATTATGGCGCTAAACATTGTTGCCAGGTTTTCGCGCAGTGTTAGTTTAAATACTACACACTTGGAGCAGTTTCGGTAAGTTTTCGTTTTTGTCTATTTTTTTTTACACTAGTTGCCCTGTGACTTCTATTGGAAAAGGCTACTTTGGATTGCATCTCAATCGTAAATTTAGCACAGAAGCCGTTGGAGAGTCAACGCCGAAGGAGAGTGATAAAGAAATAGAATCCTTAAAGACTGAAATGCAGAAAATAACTGAAAGATATAATGATTTAGATGACAAATATAAAAGGGCTCTCGCCGAGTCCGAAAACATGCGTAAACGTTTGATGAAACAAATAGATGAAGCCAAACTATTCGGTATCCAAAGTTTCTGCAAAGATTTACTGGAAGTGGCTGATATTTTAACGTCTGCTACTAAATCAGCTCCTCAAGACCAATTAAAAGATGGAGTTAATCCTCCGTTCGCTAATTTGTACCATGGATTAGTATTGACAGAAAGCCAGTTGTTCAAGGTAAGAGCCCTTTGTGATCACATCCTATATTTCGAAAATTTCCCATAAATTACTTGGCACTTCTGTGTGGTTCAGTGTAGTTCTTCGTTGTAGATATTGAACTGAACCTCTCCCTTTTTACACTACCAAGTCAATTTAAGTAATCGATAGTAAATATGTTACAAGAGAAACACATAGCTATAGTGTACATATAAATGTGTCCCCAGTCATAAGTGTAAGGTATAACTGAAACATCATTTGTAGGAACCCAGTTGACGTTTTCGGCTCCTTACCTTCCTTTTTCCTCTTCCGATTCTCATTGGTCTGTGTTGCGCGTATGTATCTGATGCCTCCTACCAATATTTATGTGTTCAAATAAATAAATAATAAACATTCAGATAACGCCACGAGACTGTACACTACAAAGCTATATAAACGACAATGAAGTTTCAAAATAGTGAATTTACTTATACTTCCATTTGGAGCACCATGATGTACCTGATGAGATCGTCATTATTTATTTATTTATTTGGACACATGAATATTGGTACAAGAGAGCGCCAATATATATGTGCCACACAAAACAATGAAAATTCTAGAGGAATACAAAGAAAGAAAAAAAGCTAAGGAGCGCAACAAAAAAAGAGAGAACAATAACGAAGAGATTGGAGTAAGGTAGTGTGGTAGTAACGACAGAACGAAAAAGTACAATCAGAAGAAATCTTTCAGGTAAGGGAGACACAACCACTTTTTATGAAGAAAGTAAAAGAAGGTTACAGCAGGATCGCCACTGGCTTCTATTCTGAGCCATGTCTGATAACGTCTCTAGCCACTGTGTAGCACCATCTCTCAGACCCCAACCGGGGAGTCGTGAAGGACCAACAGAAGCCAGTCCTTTGCAGCTTTCTTTCATGCCACGACACCATGTCATGCACTGACCACCTCTCCGCTTCTTCCAACCAGTCCCAGAGTCGGCAAATAATGCACGACGTGGAATTCTCTGAGACGACATTCGGAGAACATGTCCAAGCCACCGAAGTCGGTGTTTCAAGATGGTAACACCAATTGAATTTTCATCTCTGTGCCCGAACACACGATGCCGAGCCTCTGCATTACTGACATGGTGTTGCCACTGAATGTCAGCAATCCTTCGGAGACAGCGATGATCGAACACAGAGAGTCGTCTAACGTCCTCAACTCGGAGAGGCCATGTTTCACAAGCATAGAGCAAAGCTGCTCTCACTGACGCGTTGTAGATCCGACCTTTTACAGCCAGACTAACATCACGAAGGCGCCAAAGATGTCCCAGATTGGCATAAGCCACTCTGGCTTTCACTATACGTGCATTGATCTCATCACTCACACCCCCACCAGCACTTATGCAGCAGCCTAGATACACAAACTTCTCGACTACTTCTATCTGCTCACCATCTAGGGTGAGTACAGGATTTGAATCCTGCCAGTCTTGTAGAAGTACTTTGCACTTCGAAGGTGCAAAGCACATACCATACCTACGGACACTGATTGCCAACTGATTAAGTGCGGATTGCATGCCTTGGGCATTATCGCACAGTAAGACTATATCGTCCGCATACTCAAGGTCGAGAAGTCTTTCTCCAGGCAACAGATCCACACCACCATTACTTACATTCATCAGAGCTGTTTCCAGAATGTCATCGATGGCAAAGTTGAAGAGGAATGGTGAGATCGGGCAGCCCTGCCTAACCCCACTACTCGAATGGAACGATGGAGAGAGGTGGTTGTATGCCCTCACTCTGCCTGAGGTGTTTGTATATAGGGCTTTTAGGATGTTAATAAACTTTTCAGACACACCCTTCTTCAATAGACAATCCCAGAGAACAGTCCTGTCCAACGAATCGAAGGCAGCCCTGATGTCAAGAAACACTACGATTGTTGGTCTTTGATAAGTATGACGGTGTTCTAACATTTGGCGGAGGGTGAAGATATGATCAATACATCCTCGACCAGAACGAAAACCAGCCTGTTCCTCGCGAGTCAGTCCTTCTCGGGTTCTGAACAACCTACGAAGTATGACGAAAGTCAATAGCTTGGACGCAATCGGAAGTAAACTTATCCCTGGTAGTTGTTACAGGAACGACGTGAACCCTTTTTTAAGATAGGGACAACTATCGACTCATTCCATGACGTTGGTACACTCTCTAGTTCCCAAACCTTTGTAAACAACGTCGTCAATTCTTTAGTCAAAAAGTCACCACCATCTTTAAAAAGAGCCGGAGGTAAGTCATCTGGGCCAGGTGATTTGTAACGCTTCAAGAGTTGGAGTTCCTTGCGGACTTCCTCCTCATTTGGTGGATCAGTCGTCACCGGCCATGGAGGACAGAACAGTCTGACCGATGTTGCCGGAGCAGCAGGCCAGTTGAACTGCCCTTCGAAGAATTCTGCCCACCGTCCATGACGTCGATGGATGTTAGTGATTGGCATCCCATCATCCTCGCAGATTGTTTCACTCACACCAGACTTCTTGCTGCCAGTGGCTCGGATGAGTTGGAAGAGCTTCCGGTAGTTACCAGATGCAGCTGCTGCTTCCAGCTCATTAGCACGCTTCGACCACCAGGCTTCTCGGTCCTTACGCAAGCTTTGCCCGATTTCCTTACGTAAAATCCTTCGTTTATGGTCAAACTCACGGTCACCCGGAGTAGACCGACGGGCTTCAATGAGTTGTAAGGAACCAGAAGAAACCCAGTGCTTAAAAGCGGGACGTTTCGCAAACCCACAACTGACTGTTCTCGCCATTTTCATGGCGTCATGCAATTGCAACCAATGCTCATCTATACTTTTTGGCGGAGTGGTAGCTAGCCTAGAGGCTAGCTCAGTTCGATACTTATTTGCAACAGAAGTTGCAACCATCTTGCTAATATCAATCCTTTGCTGGCGGTCACTTCCTTGTCCACGGATAAGTAAGGTAAGATTGGCGCAGACCAAGGCATGGTCAGAGTCCATATAGGTACTCCAAAAGGAGCGGCAGTCTTTTACACAACCACGACAGCGGTAGCTGATCGCGATGTGATCAATCTGAGTCCAGGCTTGGGATGCAGAGGGAGGACGCCAGGTGGCACATCGGCGATGACTGTGCCGAAAGTTAGTGCTAGCCAGAAACAGGTTGTGGTCTGTGCACAGTTGCAGTAGACGGTCCCCGTTATCTGACCTGCGACCAACGAGTCCCCATCGGCCACCTAAACGACTCTCTTCTGTGCCAGACGCCCGACCTGAGCATTCAAGTCTCCGGCTAGTACTACAATATCTGTCGAACGCACTTTCTGGAGAAGAACAGATAACTGGTGGTAAAACTCATCCTTGATTGCATCCGGGCTCCAATCTGTCGGGGCATGACAATAATAGTAATGATAATTATTTGAATCGACTGATTGTTTTTGGGAGCGAGAAAAGTGGTTGCCATAGACATAGAGTTCATCGTTTGTGTGTGGGCTGTGATACTGCCTGGGTGCCCAAACCGAAGCAGGTGGTTATCTTAGGGGGTCACTCCCCGAACCTTTGACCTAAAGATCTGACCCACAAGGCAGTGGAGCATCGTAAGGAGATGCAATCCCATGGTTGCCGGTGACCAACGATTAGTTCATACGCCATTTGTTCCCGCAGGGTACTGGAGCCCATGTGCACCATTTGTTTGGAATCCGGTTAAAGCACCGGACATTCGCTTTTCGTCCTCTCATTTTCGTAAACAACACCCCTGTCACGAGAAGGCAGTGAGTAGGACTTCCCTGGCAAAGGCTGTATACGCGTAGCCGTGTGAGAGCATTTCGAGAGAGAGGGAGGGCCCACCCCACTCTCGGCCATACCAGGGCATTTGGGGGCTCCAAGTTTCCTGACTATAAAGGCAATGGCGTGGGTCTACAATTGAAGAACATATGGAACTCAGACAATTGTCAACCAACACTTAAGTCAGAATCTTCAATACAAACGTCCGGACAGTTCTACTGTGTGGAGCTAAAACTTGTAGAGCTACCACAAGTATCATAAAAAAATAGACGTATTTATAGACAGTTGTCTACACAAACCGAATACCATCAGCTAAAATCTACTATGCGAGAAAACAGACCAACTTCCGGTTGAAGAAACTGAGAAAATACGTCTGAGGTGGATAGGACATATATTGCGAGAATCATCAGACTGTCTCACGAAACAAGCCGTAACTTGGAATCCTGAAAGAAAAAAAAGAAAGGCAAGCCAAAGAACTCACTGCGTCGGGAACTGGAAGCAAACACCTAGAACATGAGTGGCAATTAAAAATGACTGCCCAGGACAGAGTTGATTGAAGAATCCTGGCGGGTGGCCTATGCCCCTCGGCGCGGAGTACTAGGCATAATTAAAATTCATTCTGAGCTTCATATAGTAATAGTGGTAATTCAGAGAGAAACTGGGTCTGGCACATCCAAATTTGACTTCTCCACTTTTAATGATACTCCCTTGATTACCATGGACTCTTACTGGTGATTTATCAACAAATTCAAGAACAAGCTCAGGCCCCAGCAATTCTCATGGTACTTCACCGGTTTAAAGTATACACTATATTTGCGTTGTTCCTGTGTGCTTTCTGTCGGTCAGTCAGTCAGTCAGTAACAACGTAGGACTTCGTACGTACGTACATCAGTTCGAGTTGCCACACCACATTAGCACAGATATGCAGTGGTCGATTCAAATCCCATAGTGCTAGATGTAGTAAAATTATAAGCTGTAATCAGAAAAATTAGGGTTTGAAGATGTTATTCAAGGAGTATAATACAGTGAAATAAATTTGGAAAGAGAAAAAAGAAAGGGACATGAAGAATTCAGAAGATTAGAATTTAGAAGAACACAATGAGTGGATGCACCTGCGCCATTGCAAACGATTTTGAGCCATGTCATTCAGGGTCTCTAACCATCGGTTGCTATCATCTCGCGGTCCCCAATCAGGTAGTCTACACTTATCAACATGACTTCATGGACTTGTGCCATGTTTTGGTTTGGCCGCCTCTACCTTTCTTCCAACCTACTCCTATACCAGTGAACATAGCACGTCGAGGTAGTCGGTCGTTGGGCATACACGTGTCCCAGCCATCTCAACTGATGAAGTTTCACTACGTCATCAATTGATTTGCCATCTTTACCTAGTACCCGTTTCCTAACAACTGCATTACTTACTCGATGGTCCCATGATATACGAGCAATGTTTCGAAGACACTTATGATCGAATACTAGTAACCTACGGATATCCTCTACTCTTACCGGCCATGTTTCACTGCCATAAAGTAGGACGGAACGAACTGCTGCGCAGTAAACACGTCCTTTGGTTAATAGACGGATATCTGGCCTACGCCATAAATGACGCAATTTGGCAAAAGCTAGTCGAGCCTTCTGTATCCGTGCTGAGATTTCGTCACACACTAAACCATAAGGGCTGACGAGACTTCCAAGATAAGTGAAGCGGTCGGCACACTCAACTACTTCACTCCTTATCACTAGTTCGGGTGTCGATGTAACCCAATCCTGAAGCAACATTTCGCATTTCGAGGGAGAGAATCGCATCCCGAACATGATTGCATTGTTGCTTAGAGTGGTCAGAATCTGCATTTTGTCAGCGTCTTCACCAAATAAAACTATGTCATCAACATATTCTAAGTCAACAAGTGAACCTCCTGGTAGAAGTTCAACCCCTGGAAATTTAGATGAGGAGAGTGTTATCTCTAAAAGTACGTCAATGACAAAGTTGAACAAGAATGTGGAGAGTGGACAGCCCTGACGAACACCACTTGAGGTAATCAATTCTGATGACAGTTCGCCATAAGCTCTCACTCTACCAGTTATGTTCGAGTGGAGAGCTTTTATAAGGTTAATGTACTTCTTTCAGTGACAAACACTGCCATAGAACCTTACGATCAACAGAGGTCAAGAAATACCATTGTGGGGCATCTGAATGTGTGTCTGTGTTCTAGAACCTGACGAAGTGTGAATATCTTATCTATACAATCACGTCCAGGTCGAAAACCAGCCTGATTTTCTCTAGTCTGCTCTTCACGAGCTTTGGTTAGGCGTCGAAGTATTATTGAAGCTAATATTTTAGACACTATATTTGTCAAACTGATTCCTCTGTGTGCTTTCTGTAATATCTAGTTATTATCTGCTCGCTTAATTATATTTTCCCTGGTGTTAGGTCGCTGTGAGTTAAACATGTGTGTTGATGTACTTACTTCGTTCAACCTACCTAATCCAATTACATACGGTAACGAAATGAGCATAATTGACGAGCAGCAAACTTTTGTCTTGAACAGATATTAGTTGCGGCGTAATGTGTACTATATATTTACTGCCCACTAAACTTCAGCATGGTATAAAATAACTGACAAACGCTAACTAGATTCACTTATAAGTGCAATCGTTTCACCATCAGCTTAACCATAAATGCGATGAGCCAAAATGAATTTATTATAACTGCACCATTTGTTTTATAATCCAAATTTATAATGGGATATCACAACCATTTAATCAAGCTCATTAGACAAAATAAAAGCGGTTATAGTAGCTTCCGGTTTTCAATTATCATAGCTAAGGTTTAAATATTTCTTTTTTGTTACACATTAGGTTTTCTCCCGCTATAACTTAGTCCAGATTTCTCCACAAGTTGGTGAACATTTTGACCCAAATATTCATGAAGCTGTGTTCCAAGCTCCTTTGGAAGCTGGAAAGGAAAAGAATACAGTCGCTGTGGTAACAAAAGTAGGTTATCAATTACATGGACGACCTCTGAGACCGGCGTGTGTTGGTGTGTTTGGACCTTAAAATAATTAGATCTGAAGTACTCTAGGAAGCTTGATGACAATGTTTGTTGTACACTTTATCTCATTATGATTCTTTGTGTAAATGCATATTAAAGTTTTTCCTTCTTAGTAGTAAGTTATATCGTTGCATAAGGAAGCTGCCGCATCGATGTTGATAATTCTCATTCATATTCAAACATAAATAAGTAGAATGTCAAACTGTTTAGTGATCAAAAGTTTTGCTTCCTCAAAAAATACAGTGTGGAACAATGTATAGGGATCAATATTTCTTACTTTTTCTAGGCCAATTTACCGAAAGTCATTCTTCACATGAACTTAAATTAGTAAGTATGGAGAAATCTGTAAGGATTGGACTTACATAATGATTGGTAATATTTGGTAAGACTCAACCGTTAATAATGTTGCACTCCCTTAATAAACCATTCAATCCATTGTATTCTGAGTATCTGAGTAAGATAAACTATCTATTCTCCAAGAACAAAACGGCACTTCAACGACTCTAAAGTGTAGATCATTTGAAAAAGACGTTTTTTCAAGACCGACTTTACCACCTCTGTTCGGTATCGTTAACGCTCACGCAAATAAACAATTCGCAGATGCATTTGAAAATATTTCCTTATTATAATGAAACTTAAGGGGGTGCACCACCTTTTCCAGAAGGGAATGATGGCATATGCTCTGCATACTTGGGCATAGTTCTAATAATCTTCATCTTATTACACTAACCAAAGTTGTTTGAATTGATGAGTTGAGGATTTTCGTATCGCCTCGTGATTCAAGGGTCTGATTAATACCTACCAATGTCAGATAAAACAATTACCTGGTCTTACTGTCAAGTTCTCTCGTCTGTAGAGCATCAAAGAAGCACCAAACAACGCCCCATAGGGATTAACCGGAAAGCCTAACCTAATGAGTATTGTGGTCTCTTCAGAGGTATTGCTTCTAGTTCATCTGCTATTTAAAGCCACTGACCCTATAAATATTTGTTTCTGCCAAAGTTCAACAAGCGGGTGTCCAGATGTGACGACGTTAAAGTAAGAATGTCATTTTCACAAAGTACATCCACTACCGGTCAAAAGAACAAGTCACAATCTTTCTTAGTTAACCTGTAATTTATCCTATGCTATGAAAATATTCAAATAATAGGCGACAAACATGAGACTGCACCAAAAATCCTTCCCTGTGAATTATCTGATGCCTGACTTTCCGCCCACTAGAGTATATACTGGCGAAGACCCAGTTATGCCTTAACAATGCATACAACTGAACAATCTAAGATCTCCGTTAATCATATCTCGAGTGAAGATGCTTGGTATGTGAAGCGTTTTAACAGTGAAGTAGTTGAATGAACGCCTCGTGTATCCAGAAAATTACTTCCGTCATGAGTGACATAGTCTTATCTCAACTACAAAGTTCTTGTCCTGTTGAATGGAACATTCGATACTACTCGGGAACCAGTATGCAGCAGGGTAGTTGGCTATGCGTGACATACACGGAATACGACCCCGTAAGTTCGTTGTAACGACGCGTATGATATGGCTATTTGACGGTATCATTACTAATAGCTTCAAATAACACTGGTGGGAAAGCCGTCCATGCAGCACCTAACCCTTTCTAGTAAGTATGACATTTAAGATCCCAGGATGCATTTTATTGATTTTCCACTATGTACTGCCTTCTAGTGATTAGTCCCGAAAATAAAAGCAGGTCTTTCAGTGAAATCTAAGTGAGTCTTTTTCCCTGAGAAATAATAATTGAAATGAACCTATTCTAGACGTTCAGACAAAGATACCGGCCTAGTTCATATGAATTATCGAGACTTTCAAAACCAAATAAGACAACTGGTGCAACCTCTCTGGTTAATGGACAGTCTTACTGGGACTGCTTAGAGCATCATCATAAAATAAAGTCGTCCTGATGATGTACTTTGTGTCGTTCGACTTGTAAACCAGTCGTAACATAATTCATATTTGTAAACCCCAAGCTAGACGAAGAAATTACACTAACTAAACCTCGTATGACCAAATTTCTGAGTTACCTCCTAAATTTGAAAACCTCATGTCCAATAGTCGATTTAGGTCTTTTGGGAGAAGTACGGAGAATCATTATCCGACCCAGTTTCTCTATTTTGATGGAAAATTTTGTTTGTTTTAGGAAGCATTATTTGGAAACTTTGGGGAAATGGCACAAACGCACAAAAACTCCCCCAGGTCTGGGGGGAAATCCCTAAAATGTTTGGGTTTTCCCCACACAATGGAGAAACTGCCACATTTCTTACAACTTCGGGGAAAACCCCAAATATGGGAGATTGGGGATGGATTCCAGATACTAAACTAGCAAGGCAGCACGTTCAAAAAGTTACAACTCTATACAATACCCTACCACAAATTGACTAGTTACAGTGTCTAGGACATTAAGAAATGGTTTAATTCGATCTAATTTATAATAACCCGGAAGTAACGTTTAGATGCAACGATCAAGAATCCTAATAGATAAGTTTAAAGAAAACAGTTAATCAGACCTCTGAGGCTACTACCGAAATTAGTCAGAGCCGTTTATTAACTCATCTAGAAAAAGATTAAACATCCACAGAAATGTATGGGGGAAATATTAACTCAGGTTTACCGTCCTCAAAACACTAATATCGTCTGAATCTTCTTCAATACTTTGGTCGCACATTTCTCACCTACTCATTATTTCAAAGACTTTATAATATGTCTCGAAGACCAGTGTAACCGGTATTGTCGAATGAATGCAGCTACAAAAAGACTACGAACCACTAATGTATGAACATCTCATAAGCAAATCGCATTAAAAAAATTTATTACGTATACGTGATTACGGGGGAAAAGGGTTATTTTTCTGAAATACAATGGTTAATTGCATTAAGGAGACGTACTATTCTCCGATCCGTGCTTGAGATTTTGTTCTCGTTGCTTTTCCTCATTATTGACTTGATAGTCAATGTGGATACGATTTGTCCTGTTTTCCGACTTTTTATGATGTTCCTCAACATCCCTTTTCGTTCTGTTTTTGCCGCCTTTAGACCCCGCTACATTATCCTCTTCGTAGTTGTAATGTTCGTACTCATCCATCACCTCACGTTGAAATATATTGGACACGCGCGCTAGTGTTGAAGTGTTCCAATGCACAAAATCAGTAGTTCTTTGTAAGATAAATCAGTGGTTTTTATCAAAGTGAATTCTAGTGAATGTAAAATATTGTTTTATCACTAATGAGACTTAATCCTATGAGGTCATTGTGCACTGTTTATCATCAAATTTCGTGCATCTATAAAATAATAATTCGTCATTGAAATGTCACGTTGTTTGTCCTAACGTCGTTGTTGTTCTAGATAAAAGAACTCAGCACGTGTTTCGAAAAGAAGTGAGGAACTTAGAACGTCTTCGTTATCGTTTGTTATAAAATTGATTTGGGTGATTTCAATCTTTCAAGTGGTCAGTGATTTAAGTGAGGCTAAAAGTCCGTTGTATACATAGTGTTCTTCTAATCCAATATACCTTTTCAACATATGATTGGTTTTGGATGGCATGCATCCGTTTGGAATCATATGTCGCTGAAGACTTTATTAAATCATAGGATATGACTAGTAAAATGTGACTGGGTTGTAGCTGAATCGTACGGCAGTCATGTCGCTGAATAACGAACAGCTTAGTGGTTCTTATCAAACCAAGGACAACAAACATGCATCAGTTAATTTCATACCATCGACTGCTTCATGCGGTAGTGGTCGCGCTCCATTCCTTACATCTATTCTTATCAATATACTTCTGTAACAATGTTGTAAGTTTAGTACGGTTGTCGTGATAGTCATAGTACCTGGATACGACGGAAGCGTAATATATGTTGTCTTCTAATCTTATGATGTGTTTTTGACATAATCTAGAAGCTTACCAATCCTATCCAACTCGTGTAGGCCCTCAGTCACCGACAGAGGTCGTCTACTTTCGTTATAAACAGTGAGATAGTCTATGTTTGACTTAAAATTCAAAACCTGTCAAGATAATCGCTCGGCGACAAAAGTTTGAGTTCTGTTGTACAAAGCACGTGCACGCCACTGCCCTAGCAATAACGCCCCAGGTAACGAACCACATGTTTTGGAAGACAAGAGAGAAGGAACATGGAAATTTATCATGTTTAGCTACTTCTTATTCTTGGCAACCCACATGGAAATCTGCCCATCTTCTATGTATTTTCAAGACAGATAAATTCCTCACTTTAAAAATGCAGGTGGCACCTTGATTGCTCTGTATTACGTAAAGCTATTGGCCACATATGACTCCGTCGATGGTTATAAGGAGTTCCTGATGACCGCCTTACAAGCTAAAAGTACAGGCAAATTTTATGTTGAATTCGGGTTGGAGAAAATCATGATCAGAAAAAGTGTACCCTAAATAAATGATTTATTTCTCCTCTCAACTACACCTTCGTTTTCATAGATCTATCTGCTACTAGTGGTGTTCTTGTAAATTCTTTCCACTTGTAAGCACTGAAACTTCTACATAGAGGATAGCCTAGGAATGGGTCTGTCTGAGCTGCCCTTATGTGAATATATCTTTCTCAGTTGCTGACTATCAGTTTGAGGTTAAATGCCTGCAGAGTGAGTGTGCGCTTGTTTTAACGATCCGTAGAATTCACAGGAAGTGCGTTAACGTTTACTCCAGTATCAGTAAGATAGGCAGTCTTTATTGCATCTTTAGCGTATATGAGATATATGTAGCTACTAGTATAGTTATCGCCAACGCGCTTGTGTGTGGTGAGTTAAATGCCAGACAGAAATGAAAGTTTATTCGTCATTGACAAAAATATGAGAAGTTCTCGTAAATATTTATCTGTATCAAGTGGTTTTTATTGTGTGGAAGCGACTATGGATAATGGTTGTCATAATTAAACCTGCCACTCTTATCTGTCCCTTTGTTTTTGGTCTCAGTGGCTAACAAATGGGTTATGCAATCTGTGTTTTGAAGTTTGAACAGTGAC